ATGAGAATGATAGACTTGATTATTCAAAATTCATCTACATGTTTTTTTAGCAATACCCAAGTCATTAATTAAACCATTCATCCAAATAGCTTCCTTAGAAGCTTAAGTGATTATATTATGCTTTGGTGGTAGACAATGCAACGGTAGATTGCAATGTTGAACGTCGACAAATAGGTCCATCAGCCATAGTGGATAGATAACTAGTAGTGGATCGTTGCTTATCCAAATCACCAACATAGTCACAATCCACATTGCCAACTATGAGGTTGTTAAGATTATCTCTTGTTGAAACTTGATACCAACATCAATAGTACTAAGAATGTACCTAAGAATCCATTTGACAGTCTGACAATACTCTTTGTCAGGATTATGCATGTAACAACTCACCATGCTTATCGGTGTGTGACAGATCAGGTCGAGTACACACCATGGTATACATCAAAGCCCGAACAACAATTGTAGAAGGAACATTCTCCATAGGCATTTTATCATCATCGGAACCTGGACATATGGAAGCATTAAACTTGAAATGAGGAGTAAGTGGCGTACCGACACGTTTAGTTGAATTATTCCAACAAAATCTTATCAACACTTTGCGTAGATATTGAAACTAGGTCAACCAAACTGTACCTCTTCTTCGAGCTCACCCTATCTCTATTCCAAGTATTTTATTTGCTTTGCATAAATCTTTCATTTCAAATGTTTTAGAAAGCTAATCTTTGAGCTTATCAATCTCCACATGTCTCTTGGAAGCAATTAACATGTCACCAACATACAAGAGCAAATAGATAAACGATCCATCATTAAGGCACCGAAAATACACACAATGATTAAATTGATTGTGAGTATACTTATGCTCTACCATGAAGTGATCAAACTTCTTATATCATTGGCGAGGAGATTGCTTCAGCCCATACAAATATTTCTTCAATCTACATACCAAACGTTGTTGCCCAACTATGTGAAAACCAACTCGTTGTGCCATATATTTTTTTTCTTCCAAATTTCCATGCAAGAAAGCAGTTTTAAATCGAGTTGTGTAAGCTCAAGATTAAATTGAGCAACCAAAGCCAACACAATCCAAATGGAAGAATGCTTTACCACATGTGAGAAAATCTCATCGTAATCAATTTCATCCTTCTGTGCATAGCCTTTAGCCACAAGTCAAGCCTTATAACATATACTAGAAGAGTCTTCCATTTTTGCATAGTGACCTGAGGTGCAATTAGCGTGAGGTTGATGATGTACGTGTTAAAATATCACCACTAGCCCAATAAGGTTAAGCCCAACCATTGTATGAGTAATTATATTTATGTTAAGAAAATGATATAGGTAGTAATAAATTTAGGAAAATGCTTTATGGATTTTAGAAAAAGGTTAGAAATTTTAGGAATAGATGGGCTACTATCTAGTATACCCTCTACCCTACTTGTTAATCATTCCAAGAAATCTCAAGCAATACAAAGTAGTAGTTTCTACATAATGTTTTGTAAATCTCTTCTCGATTGATCTTAATAAAATGTGCGAGTGTTTCCTACGGAGAGTTGTGTTCAACAATCTGGGATCAGAGCGAGGTTAGTATAGGTATCTAATCTCTTGGAATTCTTAGTATGCTCTATGGTTGCAGCTCTGTCTGATCTTCCACATCAGAAATGATTTCTTGAGATTATTAATGTGTGAGTTTCATTTGTGTCGTGAGTAGTCTGTGACTCTACAAGTCTTGTGTCGAAAGAGCTTGTTTGGTATTATTGAGGTATAGCCAACACGATGGGTGATTTTCAAATCGTTGGAGAAATCAAGAAACTCAACAACAACAACAACCTACAACACGTGGGCAACATGCATGATGTCTCATTTTCAAGGATATGATCTTTGAGAGATCGTTGGCGGGTGTGAAACTACGCCGCTAGAGGATGATTCTAACGGCGCCTTACGCAAATGGAGAATCAAAGCAGACAAAACAATGTTTGCCTTGAAGACTACAATCGGAGAAGAGATGTTAGAGCATATTTGGGATGACAAGACACCGAAAGAAGCATGGGACACGTTCGTGATGTTGTTCTCAAAGAAGAATGATACGAGACTACAACTTCTGGAGAATGAGTTGTTGTCAATTTCACAACGTGACATGACGATTGCTCAGTACTTCCACAAGGTCAAGTCGATCTGTCGAGAGATTACTGAACTAGACCCGAAGTCCGCCATTGTAAAATCTCGAATGAAGAGGATTAGAATCCACAGATTGCGACCAAAATATAGAAGCTTTATTATTGCTATACAAGGATGACCCACTCAACCATCACTTGTAGAGTTCGAAAATTTGTTAGCCGGCCAAGAAGCTATGGCTAAGCAAATAGGAGGCATCACATTGAAGGGTGAAGAAGAAGCACTCTACACAAGTGAAAGCCGGTGCAATAATAATAGGTCATCTACCAAACGTGGATACAATGGTGACAAAAGAAGAAGTCACCAAGGAACTGTACAACCAGGGAGAGCTCAGAAGAACGATAACAATAACTCTCAAGGGAAGAGATTTGAAGGCATCTGCTACAATTGTGGAGAAAAGAGCCACATGTCCAGGGATTGTTGGTCTAAGAAAAAATCTGTTGCAAGCAATGCGGCAACATCCAAAAAGGAGATGGAGGATGAATGGGATGCAGATGTATTGTGTCTCATAGAAGAAGACGAGCTAGCACTCATGGTGATGATGGGAGAGCATATCGGTTACGAGGATGATTGGATCATTGATTCAAGATACTCAAACCACATGATTGACAATCAGAGTGATGCAATTGAAGCAGAGTGGCCCTCGGAGAAGGAAGTATTATTAAACTTGGACAACATTGAAGAAATTCTTCCACATAAGATGGGAGCAAATTGTACACTTTTTCTTAAATGCTGATGTACTTGAGGATCGAAGTGACAATGATATTAGTGAGCAAGAAGTGACTCAACCAAGCGAAACTAGTGAAAATGAAATACACCTCAACAACTCAAACGGTTGGAAAGAATCCAAAAGCCAAATCCAAAGTATGTCGATATAACTATTATAGAGGACGAAGTGAAAGAGCCAAAGATGTATGTAGAAGCATCACAAAATACGGCTTGACATCAGTCAATGGAGGAATAAATTATAGCCTTGGAGCAAAATCAAACTTGGGAACTAGTACCAAGACCAGAAGATGTCAAATCCATCTCTTGCAAGTGGGCTTACGAAATAATGTGTCTCTCAGATGGATCAATCGAAAGATACAAGACTCATTATGTAGCTCGAGTGTTCACTCAAGAATATGGACTAGGCTATGATGAAACGTTTAGTCCTGTGGCGAAGATAACTATCGTACAAGTTCCTCTAGTAGTTGTGGTAAATAAAGATTGGAAATTATGGAAAATGGATATGAAGAATGTTTTCTTGAACGATGAGTTAAATAGAGAGTTCTACATGGACCAACCGAAGAATTTCGAAAATGAAGTTGTAGTCATTGATCAATATATACAAAGTCCGAAGAAGCCTCATTTGGATGCGGCTCGGCGCACCTTGAGATATGTCAAAAGTATAATCAATTACGATCGTTTGTACAAAAGAAGCGAAGACTGCAAGCTAGCTGGATATAGTGATATTGACTATGTAGGAGACCACGATACTCAAAGATCAATCACTGGGTATGTATTCAAGCTCAGTTAAAGAACAATTTTTTGGTTTAACAAAAGACAAGCAACTGTATCATTGTCAACTAGAGAAGCAGAGTACAAAGTAGCGACGGGAGCAGCTCAGAATGTACATGGCTGAAACTTCTAATGAAAAATTGGCACCAGAAAGTTGACTATTCGATACCACTTCAATGCGACAACCAATCTGTGATTTGTTTAGTAGAAAATTCGATGTTTCATGGCAGAACAAAGCATGTGGAGGTGCACTGCCATATTATTAGAGACAAAGTCTTGAAGGAAGAATACAGATGATCAAATGGTAGACTTGTTTACAAAAGGGCTGAACACCAGCAAACATGAGGGTTTTTATTGTCAACTCAACATGGTGCAACGAATGAGGACTAGTGCTGAGCGGGAGTGTTAAAATATCACTACTAGCCCAATAGGGTTAAGCCCAACCATTGTATGAGTAATTATACCTGTTAAGAAAATGATTTAGGGATTTTAGGAATAAATTTAGGTATTTTAAGAAAAACGTTGAGAAATTTTAGGAAGCAATACAAAGTAGTAGTTTCTACTGTATTTTGTAAATCTCTTCTTGATTGGTTTTAATAAGTGTGCGATTGTTTCCCACCGAGAGTTCTGTTCAATAGTACCTAGATAAACGTAAGACATAGAATTAATATTACCTAAAGCTGTCAAGATATGAATTCTAAAGGGGATAAAGTACTCCTTGGAGGTATGTGTAAGGTCTAGGTAAATAAGAACTTGAAAATGGTAGTATAACCCTCCGACTAACTCTAGAAATAGTTTGAGCACATAACTTCAGATTTTGTCATAGGAATAAGTTTCAATAAAAGTTACAAGTGGGTTACTTATAAATTATCTTTAATACTCACTCTTATTACATTTTCTTATTCTTTTTGAGGTGACCAATAGATCACTAACCATGATGAGGTATGCGTCAAGCAGTGTAGTTGTAGAGGGGACCGTTGACCTAAGTCCTATGTTTACTTGTATATATGTATATATATATACATATACATACATATATATAAAATACACACAATTAGTTAATCTAAAATGGTAAAACAAAATCTAGCATTAATGTTAAAATAAAACAAAATGCAATAGCTCCATTAAAGTTTTACTAGTTGTTACGATTGTTAAGAATGTTGGGGGCATTATTGTTGAAATGCAATATTAAGATTATGATAATGAAAATAAAAAACAGGTTTAGAATTTTTGCAAAATTTAATCCATTTTTTAAGCTGTTACCGCCCTTAATTTATGGGAAAAAAAAAAAAAAAAAAAAAAACTTAAAAGCACTGATCTTTTTCTTCGGTGGATTAGTTGGAAAAGGATGCAGTTGACGACTGTGCCTAGATAAGTCGATCGTCAAAGATCGGCTCTCTAATACCGCCGCTGGGAGAACCGAAGCCTCATTCCATTGAAATAATTCCTCTGATATAGACTGTTCTTACTTCAGTGTTAAGAACGGGAAAGGGGAAAGGAGTATATACAGACATCTGGGTTTCATCTTCCTCGTTCAAGCGTCAATGTCACTCCTCAATCAACTCTTCAACAGAGGCGTCTTTGCGGGCAAATGGTCAGCTTTCGATTTTTCTAATTCTAAACCTCCTCACTATTCCATTAACTATGCTTGAATTTGGTTTCGGATCCTCAGCATTACTTAGAATTCATCTGGGATTGTTATCTTTCCGGGGATTTTTTGTTTGTTGGAGATCTTTTTGTGTCGTTAATTTACCAAACCCAACACCCACAAACGAAATTTCTGTTGAGATTTTGCACAAATTTTCGTTCGGCTAAACTTCGACAAAATAATATATCGACCAGTTTTCCAGTTTTTGTATAATTTCGGCAATTGAATTTTGATTCGTAGTCTTCTACCTTTATCATCTCTCGATTAGACTGGGGTTTTTCCGCACAATTTCATGTCAAAATCTATAATCAAACAAGTACTTGTAAACAGATAGCATCCCTTGCATTTTTCTGGGAATGAAAGGTCTAATATATATTGGGTGTTTTGTAGCAAAACTTGCTTGAGCTTGGCAATCTCGCGGATCAAGCTGCTGCAGAATAAGAGGGATCTACAGCTGAAGAATATGCGCAAGGAGATCGCACAATTCTTGCAGACGGGACAGGAACCAATAGCTCGGATTCGGGTACCCTTTAGAATTTTGAGATCTGTAATGTCTGTCAGTTCTATTGTTTGTTTTACTATCCCGTAAAATAACATGTGTAGTTATCTGTTTTGGCAGGTGGAGCATGTAATACGGGAACAAAACATATGGGCAGCATATGAAATTCTAGAGTTGTTTTGTGAATTTGTTCTTGCTCGTGTCCCCATCATCGAAAGCCAGAAGTAATCTATAGCTCAAAAGTTGTTTTGCGAAATTTTTTTGCTTCTTGGAGTTTCTATTTATATGTTGGTTCACATAAATTGGAACTCCCTTGGTACAATGGATATCTGATGATTCTTAGCATTTGGATCTTTAAATAAGTCATGAAGCTCTTGTTTAACTGGGTCATCTCCATTAATTTTTTGTTTGTCCCTATTAAAAGTTAATTAACTATGAAACTAACTTCTAACTGATATGTGGTTCTGAAGCTTACTTGTGATCCCCAGTCATAACCTTCTCTGTTTGTGTTGGACTTCAATATCGATTGATGCGTCCTTTACATTTTCCGGTGCATCTTTGGGCTGGGTTATGTTGTAGAATTATAAATTATGTGGTGCTTTCTTTGGTGCTGATGTCTAATTTAATAGTCTTGAGAAAATCTGTTAGCTGCAAAGTTATTTCAGTTACACTGTTCTAAGCTACGAAAGAACAAAGTGGTACCTGTTCATGCAATCAAAGGAACTAGTGTCGTGTCTATCCACCAAATTTATTCACTCAATTTTCTTGTCAGTACTAAGTTGTAATTGACATAATTTTCAACGGTAGTATGTATTTGTGAGTTCTCTTGGATAATTATGATAGGAACATCAGTAGGAATATTATTAGGGTATAAAGGGTTTATTAGTAATTAGTTAGGAAGATTGTTAGGGTATTTGATTCTAAATAGAGGGAGTAGGAAAAGAGGAAGTTAGACAATTGTTTAGTGGTTCGGGCTTCGGTGGCATCTCAAGAAAGTGGAGGTTCAAAAGTACCTCAAATACTTGGGAGTTGTCTTGCTGTTCTGTTATCTTTCATATTTCAATGTACTTCGGTTCTATCAAATTGTTGTTAAGATTAGTGTTCCAATGCTATGATGTGAAGATGAGTTCTATTAATTTGCTTGGTTTGATTTGATGCATGTGTTTTTCATTATTTGCTTAGAAACCTGTAGCCATGGCTCATCATTAAAAAAATGGTGAGGTTAATCTGTTGAGTCCTTTTCGTGCAGACCATACTAGGGGCCTTTTATGTGAATGTTCTTACTTTGTGCATTTTGTTTGTCCGTAACTAACTATTAAATTTACAATAACAGAGAATGTCCAGTCGAACTGCGGGAGGCTATTGCGAGCATAATATTTGCTGCTCCTAGATGTTCTGACCTTCCAGATCTACTGCAGTTGAAGAATTTGTTTGCTGTCAAATATGGGAAAGAATTTGTCTCTGCTATTTCTGAGCTTCGTCCTGACTCCGGTGTTAATCGATCAGTTGAGTGTGTCTCAAGTTTATCGTGAGCAGTAGTAATGTTTGTTTTTTTTAGAATAAAAGCGAAATGGTTCATTCAATTCTTTGTTTTCATTTCAGATTATTGAAAAGCTTGCAGTGAGTGCGCCTCCTGGAGAACTAAAGCTCAAGGTCATGAAGGAGATTGCAAAAGAACATGGACTCGACTGGGATTCTTCCTCCACTGCTTCTGAATTTAGTAAAACCCACGAAGATCTGCTGGTATGATTCCCAATTTGATTTTGGTGTTGATTGATCTGAAACACATTCATAGTACTATAGCGAAGTTATAAATGACATATATTCTTGCTTCTGGAAACAATTATTCCATTCTACTGACTGCATATTTCTCCATCCTTTCCCTCATATATTGGCATGATATTTCTAACTGCTGTTCCTGAAAAGCCTGAAAGGAACCGAGATTTGAACTACAGAGCTGAATTGGAAAATGCTTGTATTGGAATGAAAATGGTCTAGATTCTATGATTTTTGAGGGATCAAGAGCTCTCCTTTCTCCAGGGGATCCTCTATAAGCTTCGAACAAAACTCTGTGGCCCACCCCTGTTTTCCTATCCGTAACTGTCCTATCCGTAACTGTCCTATCCGTAACTGTCGAACCCTAACAAATTGCTGACGCACGGCTCAAAAACAGTAAGATTAACAAGTTAACTAATTCGTTCACAGTACTAGAGATTACAACTTAATTATGTTGAAAATTTTTGTTCTGTCTGCTGAAAAGAAGAATATCATTATATGAGACCCTCAATCGTGAGTACGTGCATTACGAGAGGTAGTAAGGAAAAGGACCACCAGACAATTAGTTGGTGGAACGCTCGTACCAGTGGCTGGAGGTGAGGACTAGCAATTGGAGGGAAGTATTCTGTCTTGGGAGGGTGACTTTTCTTTTGAATAGAACCGTGTTTTAGGGGCTGAGAGGTTACCAGCCATCTTGAAATTGGCTGGGAGTTTGTTTGGGTTCTTTGGGTTATTATGAACTTTGTATCTGTTTTTTAAATTTAATCAAGTTGTAAGGGAGGCAACTTACACATTATACACCTACTTTTGACTAACTAGTTTGTCAAGTTCAACCTTAAATATTCAATGTTATCAATTTGAACCCTGAACTTTAAATAGATTGCACAATTAGTATCCTCGAGTTCAAAGTTACATTTTTAGAATATTTGTGGCTGGCTATGAGCATTTTGTGACTAAACTAATCTAGTTTTACGAGAATTAAATCTTCATGTTGGGTACTTTTAGCTTGATCTGAGCAACACACTCACACTAAATGAAGTTTATTGTCATGGTAACTTATTCTGTTCTTGATGGTCTATTCTGTGGCCTTTGTCATGGGATATGCAGGGTGGACCAAAGGTAGTACATGGAGCGGCAGCGTCTCAAGCTCCCTCTCAATATAGCTCGTCCAATCCTTCCACTCCTTATGGAGAATCGCCCGTTGTGTCTGTTGTAGAAAAGCAAGAACCTGAATGCCACCATACATTCACTCGAACCAGCAATAGCGCAAGTGATATCAAACCGGGACCTAAGAATTTTGATGTCAAACCAGAAGTCGCTTCTAAATTAGATATAAGACCACCTCCATCTGATGTATTAGAGAAAGCCAGAGCTGCCATTGCTTCAGCCGAACGTGCCACTGCAGCAGCCCGAGTTGCTGCCGAGCTAGCCAATGTCAACCTTGGAGCAATGAAGCTTGAAGGAGGAGGACAAGCTTCTGAGTGCTGAAGAGAAAAAGAAGGTAATTGATACATTGTTTGATACTGGACTGGTGCATAAATTGTGTTTGAAGTTAATCGGGTGTCCAAAGATTGAAGAGTGGAGAGTGGGTCAATCCATAAGTGAAACCAAATCCGTGTAATTAATAGAGTTGCAAGGAAAATTTAATTCCAAGTATTTGTAAAATACTAAAATTCTTTGGTGATTATGGTGAAGTTCTAATGGTGCAGCAGTTTGATATAAATGCAACATTAGAGGAAAATAAGTTTGCTTAATTTAAGATAAGTTGCAGACTGAGGAAGGGTAAAGTATTCGCAATGTTCTTCCTGAAAGTATGAGCATCCATTGTAGAAATACTCATAAGTTTGGTTGAGAAATTGTGGATTGCCATCAGTTTTTGGTTAAAATGAAGCACCGTTGCCACTGTGTTTTATCCCAAGATCAACAGCGCGTGAAAATCTCTCTAGTATTTGAGTTCAAATCGGCCGATAAGTCCTCGACTTTGGGCCCCATGTTACAATTTTTTTTGTAGGTTTTTTCGGTGGTTGTTTTGACTGATTTTTCCTCGGTACTAATGGTGGTGTCACCATCAAATTGGTTTCAGTATCAAGATCTAGTTGCAACTCGATCTTTTTCGAGGAACTTTGCTGTCGTGAATGCTCGGGTCATCACTGGTTTATGTGAGGTTGAAGAACAATCCAATCTTTATTTTGTTGGCATGACAAGAATGAGTGTTTCAGTCATGCAGAGAAGCATTAGAAGACTACGATTTTATTTAGAATTTAACAAAGGTTAAGCAAGTTGATATTGTAAAAAATATGAAAAAAGTTTAAGGGAATCTTTAATCTTATTACTCTAACTCCTCTAACTCCTCCAAAAGCGGAATCTTCTCTATAAAGCCTTTCTGGTTATAACTTCAACCCAAAGTCAAGCTTGTGGGAACTTATTGAAAGAAAATATAACACCTCAGTCCAATTGGTATATATTCTTTAAAAAATTATTTATATGTTTTAAGCTTTCAAAATTTTGTTGAGAGCCTTAGGGTGAGTCTCAAAGAGGTGTAGAAGGGACAAGTACTCAAAATGACTCGAGAAACATAGAAAAAATAAAACAGAATAGAAATTGTACAACTTCATGTAACTGTACAAAATTTAGGAAGCAATATTTGTAGGGATGACTTAGATGACGCATGCTAGTAAAATCAACCTTAGAAGGTTGGTTTCGATATAACATGTGCCTAGATAAACGGGATAATTGTGAGAATAAATACACTAGATGTAGAAATAATTGAATTGCTCCTTGCATGTTGATATGTATCCTTTCTACACTAATTGTACATAATTATGTTGAATCAGTGGTTGGAAATTTGTGTCTATGCTTGGAGCGTTTGATGGATGTTACTGTTCCATTGGACATATGTATGATTGACTAAGAATAGCTCCAGGTGGTTGAATGTTGATTCTCCGTATAGAAGATTAGTAGTAGAGATGCTTTAAAACTATGCTGTGAGAGAGCACTAAATTGATGACATTTACCCTTATTTAGATCGATTCTCATAAAATAGTTTTTTTTGTTCCAAAAACTAGACATAATTTACCGGCTATCTTAAAAATTTTGAAGAAAAATAACTCGGGGAAGATCAATCATGAGCATGTAAGTAGCACATGGATCAATTATAAGAAGTACCGGTAGGAGTAAATTTTTTTCAAGACCCAAAGATTTTTTATTTATTTATTTATTTATTTTTATTTTCTTTCTATTTAAAAACATAGGTTCATACATATTTACTATTAATATATTAAAGTAGGATTTATACAGAATCATTTCAAATACAAAATAAGGAGTGGACTTAAAAGAACACCTCAAAATATACTAAAGTAAAGATGTTTATGGCACTCACTCCAAACGCTCCCATCCACGACTGTTTGTCAGTTATCTGAAAAAAATGATAAATATGGAGTGAGCAAAAAATTCAGTAAATAGCCTATTTGTAAGCTCTTAATCACGATCTTAAGCTAGGATATCACTTCTGATTATGTTTTCAGGGCTGGGTACTTACCGCTTATCTTATTATATGTATCCTGAAAACCTTTCCTTAAAATAATCTTTAATTCTCTCTCCATGAGCACAAGAGTGGTGCTATCATGATCGTGTCATCTTGCTATGGAATCGTGGTTTAGGGTGTCATAATCGCACTCTTGCGATAGCAAGATAACGATTGTGCGGCACTTGTTCTAACCAAGTGAACAAGTTATCCGTGAGAATTTCAAATGTCGGGGACAACATCGACGTATGTTTGGGCCTCGAGTCACGTTGTGAGAAAAGATTTAGAAAATGTGAGGAGGAAATACATTTGAAAATGATTTGAAGAATTGAATAAAGCAACCATATAGCAGATAAAGAAATACCACAACTTAAAAATAACATATAACAAGTAGGAAGAAGTAACAATTAGTCGTACCCCCCTATAGTACATTTTGGGGCATTTTAGTCCTGGCGGGTGTAGACATAATTTTGGTAAACGATCATACGCCCCCGTATTGACCCAACGTGAAATGGTAAAGGCCTACCTAGTATGAAAGCATGTAAAATGAGTTTGGAATAGGCATGCAACCATGGACAACACGTCCAGGACAAGCAAGAGTAGGACATTTGTCATGTGACCATAGACAACAAACCTTGACCAGCATAACCGTGACACATGACATCTCATCTAAGTTAGGAGAAGATGATGCCCTTCATAGCATCGTGCTCATGATACAAAACATAGGGCATCCCACCTAAAAGAGGAATAGGGGCCTCATAGTACACCTCGTGATAGGAGATAATGGTTACTTTCGAGTATGAATCCAAACAACTTATTTATCATGCTATTCAAATAATCCTAGATCCTAGGTACGTTCTTGGTACATGGATTGTTGCTGAAACTAGGCTTGTACACAATACCATGGGGGGGGGGGCTTAAAGCTTAATGGTTTTAGTTTAGGTAAAGGTTAAAGGGCAGCCTAACGTAGTCCGATGAGCGTAAAAGCTTGCTAGTACCTTGATAACATCATTATAAGATCATGTAAGAAGTTTCATGTTGCATGGGTGTCTTAAAAGTCGTGAAATGAGGTATGTTTGCAAGAAGGGTATAATGGTCATTTTACGTAGTTTCTTGGTTTAGCTACTTAATCTTGTCTAATGACCACCAAAATTAGTATACAACCTCAAAATGATATAATATAATCAGAGTTAAAAATTCATACGCAATGGAGTTGGTCTAGTGGTTCAATTAATGTTACTTAAATCCCAAGTAATTTGCTTGGTTCAAGGCCTTAACTCACCATTTTAAGTGTTTTTTTTTTTTTGGTAACTTACCTAGTGAGTCTAGTTTCTAGAAACATTGAGAACTTTGTGAGAACCAACCAGGAAGGAATTCAATTTGATAAAAAAAAAAACCAAGGAGGAATAGAAATTTGGGCTCACAAAATTGAGAATGTTTCTAAAAATTCTTTACCCCTTCTTGACCATTTTTTCCATTTGAGTACCTTAAAATTCTTCCTTTAAGAAATAAAAAGTTCCGTAAAAATTGGAAAAAGTTTCATTTTCTCATTTCTTTCCCCCAATTTTCCTTTGTTATTTACCCGTACAATTTCGTAGGAATTATACTTCGCCTCTTTCTGGAGGCCTTAGGTTCTTGGGTGTTACACAATTAGAACATGGGCATATGATTAGAAATCATATTTAAGAATCAATTAGCTAGATAGTTTACAATTTTATAGATTTCGCTGGTAGAGAATTCGGATAGGTTTAACATGTTTATGAGCTTTCCAACATACTTAGATTTATTTTATCTCCGTATTTTGCATGTTGAGCATGATGTCTGTTGTTATTATTGTCCTGAGATGCATGCATGTCAAGGGGTTTGGAAACTTGTTTATGTCCACCGAGATTCACTATTTCTTTAGATTCACAGATAAAAGAGGTCAAATGCCCACTCTTAGTTTACTCCCCGCTTTGGACGATTGCATTGTGCCCTAGAGTTTCTATTACACTTGTTTTGAGATTATGAACCACTGTTTTATTTTACTATGGTACTACAACTAGAACCTAATTATAGGTTCCCATTATCTTCTTTGGGTTGACCAGGTACCTTGTAGGGATGATTGGGGTGCAACCTTTATTCGTGACTAGCCAATACAGGTTAAGGTTTATTTGCACATATAGCTCAGTTTTCAACCTTAGTGAGTTCCAGGAGTCATAGGAGGTAAGTTACTGAGATAGTTTACTTTTATAGTCTAAGAGGTGGCATGAACAGGTCAATTACTATCTCCGCCCAAAAGGGTGATGTAACATGCCAGTTATTGTTTTCGTCTCAAAAGGTGATGCAACAAGTAGTTATAACCGGCTACCACTAGAGAGAATTCTCTGATTTGGATTTAGTAAATAGCTAGATGTGGAGTACATATATTACTTTAGAGCAAAAGGGCTCCTCCATACTTAATAGACTTACCCTAGGCCTAACCTTGCGAGAATACAAGTTGTGGGGCATATTGACTCGAGGTGCATTTCACACCAGTATTATGATGGACCTAGACATACATAAAACATAGGAGGAATGTATAGGGTTTTGGTATGTAGAGACCAAAAAGGTTAGTACATACATTGAGCCTCAGTTCGGCTAACTCTAACGGTAGTTATGTGTAACTTCAGATTTCGTGTATAGGAATAAGTTTCAGCGAGAGTCTACAAGTATGATGAATATTTTTATACTCTCTTCCTAAATTTCATGATTTGAGGTGAGCATTAAAACAGTAGTCACGGTCGAGGCATGCTGGGCCATGCAGTTGTGGAAGAGACCTTGTTGACCCGAGTCTTTTGAGTCTTTTGTTTATTTGTACACGATATTTGTAACCCTTCCATTTGTAAATGATCTTTGTATTTTAATGAGTGTGTGTGGGAATGTATGCATTTAAATTGTGTTATTTTAATGTATTTATTTACTTGCCTGATGTCTTTCATTTTAAAAGCGAAAAAAATTTATCATCTTTTTATAACTCATTCATCACGACCGTTCGTATTTTTATGTGTCGAAAATCGAGTGGTGATACTTTAGAGATCATATTTAGATCCGAGTGTGTTTGTATATTAATGGTAAATATTTTTTGTTTGAATAATTGATAGTTAGGTTTTTTTTTTTTTGCTACTTTACCCCACTGTAAATATATGTAAATTATGAATGTTTCCTTTATTCTTATTAATAACATAAATATATTTTATGTAATAAATAC